TGTCCAAATTCTAAAAATTGTTTCTGTATATTCTATAAATGAACCAGATCTAAATAAAATTGCATAAATATCTAAAGGGTTTTTCTAAATATCTCTGGCCAGAGATATATAACTTATATATATCTCTGGCCTATTAACCAATCAAAATGTACAAAGGTCACGTGATGCATGTTCCGGACCCACACACACGATCGCCGACTTGTCGGATCTATTTGTGTGACCCGAAGCACCGGTTCCGCATTAACTCAGTAACCCGAACAACAGTCTCACATATTATAAAAATTTTTTTTTAAAGATTCATATTTTATTACAAAAAAAAATTACATAATATACAAAAACCAACTCCCGCATATATACAGAGCCAACTCCTGCATAATATACAAAACCAATTTCTCCATAACATACAAAACCAACCTTATGTAATGCATAAAACCAACTCCCGCATAATGTACAAAACAAACCCTATATACACATAAAACCAACTCCTGCATAATGTATAAAACCAACGTGACATCAAAAAAGACAAAGTTCAAGACACAAAGACAAAATCCATAATATCAGGAACGGACAAATGAAACACACACCAAAATAAATCGAAAAAATAAAAGCACAAATTAAATGAGAATTACCTGAAACCCAAATGAAGCCGAAAGGACAGTACCACCAACAACGAAATTACACCGACTCCAACGACGAAGGCTCACTACACACTTAGAAGAAAAGAAAGTGGTAGTCGGTGAAACTCAAGCAACGAATTTATATCAAATCCAAACCGAAAAACCAACTACATACCGCAAACCGAAAAAACGAAGGCATAATTCAACGAACTACATACCTAGTAGCGATTGAAGGCGAAAGCCACAATCCAACAATGAATTTTACACTGACACCAATAACAAGGACTCAACTACGTACCAGGAAGAAGAAAGGGCGGTAGTCAAGTGAAACCAAAAGAAATCAAAGGACAAAAACCACAACGAAATTTATACCGATTCCAGGGCGAAAACTTAACTCATACCTGGAAGAAAAAAAAAAGTGTTAAGTGAAACTAAATGAAATCGAAAAAAAAGCCAACAAGTTCAATAAGAATTACCCAAAACTAAACAAAACTCCAACAATGAAATTACACTGACACCAACAACGAAGACTCAACTACACACTTAGAAGATAAGAAAGTGGTAGTCAGTAAAACTCAAGCAACGAATTTATACTAAATCTAAAACAAAAAACCAACTACATACTGCAAACCGAAAAAACGAAGCCAAAAATTTCAACGAACTACATACCTAGTAGCAATTAAAGGCAAAAGCCACAATCCAACAACGAATTTTACACTGACACCAACGACGAGGACTCAACTACACACCAGGAAGAAGAAAGGGTGGTAGCCAAGTGAAACCAAAAGAGATCGAAAGATGAAAACCACAATGAAATTTATACCGATTCCAGGGCAAAAACTTAACTACATACCTGGAAGAAAAAAAAAAGTGTTAAGTGAAACTAAATGAAATCAAAAAAAAAAAGCCAACAAATTCGATGAGAATTACCCGAAACTAAACGAAACTACAACAACGAAATTACACCAACACCAACACCAACGACAAAGACTCAACTACACACTTAGAAGAAAAGAAAGTGGTAGTTAGTGAAACTCAAGCAACGAATTTATACTAAATCCAAAACAAAAAACCAACTACATACTGCAAACCGAAAAAACGAAGCCATAATTCAACAAACTACATACCTAGTAGCGATTGAAGGCGAAAGCCACAATCCAACAATGAATTTTACACCAACATCAACGACGAGGACTCAACTATGTACCAGGAAGAAGAAAGGGCGGTAGTCAAGTGAAACCAAAAGAGATCAAAGGACGAAAACCACAATGAAATTTATACTGATTCCAGGGCAAAAACTTAACTACATACCTGGAAGAAAAAAAAAGCGTTAGCCAACTGAAATCGAAAAAACAAAAGCAAAGTGCAAACAAAAGAAACCGAAAAAATAAAAGTACAAAACCAACGAAAAAATGAAAACCACGAAATTTGTACCAACACCAGCAACGAAAGACTCAACTATATACCTGGAGGGAAAAAAAAAGTATTAGAATAAAAAAAAAACAAATCATGTAACATGCATGTACGTAATTAGATAATCTGATCAAATTGATCAAGAATATCCCATGCATGCGGTGCACATTTGGGCAGAAGGTCGGATTAACACATAAATGCGAACCACCTGACTTTCTTGAGTTTGATTGGCTGAGAAGCCAGAGATATATAAATTATATATCTCTGGCCAGAGATATTTAGAAAAATCCATATCTAAAGTAGCAGGAATTACATTATCTAATAAATCAATAGCCATTCTATATTCAGTATCTTTACAATATAATCCAAATTTTTCTAAAATTATTTTTTTAATTTTTTGTCATGCTTTATATGCTAATTCTAATAAAAGATTAATTCGCCAAGATTTAGGTTTTTTAGCTAATTTTTTTTTATCACCGAATACAAAATGAAATAGTTGTTTAAAAAATTCATAATTAATTATTAATGCTGTTTCTTTACTATTTAATGCAACATGAAGAGGACCAATAATTGGATGAAAATTTTTATAAACTTGAGAAATATTTTTAATATGTAATAATTTTTCTAATAAATAATTGTCCTGGCCAATCTCAATTATTGGAATTACATTTTCTTTTAAATAATTATTAAGTAAAGGAACATTAACAATCATTTCAAGAGCATTAACATAATCATCAAATGAGTGTAATTCTAATTTTTTAAAATCTACAAGCTATAAATCTTTCATTGATCTTTCTTCTTTATATTCTAAAATAGTATCTTCATATAAATGAATTGTTAAATTATCTATACTTTCAAATTTATCTAATTCAAGAGTTGAATAAGATATCTATCGAGACTTTGAATTATTATAGCTTATATCAAAAAGTGAGCTATATATTTGGTTTAAACATTTACAAAGATTATTAGCATCAACATTAATTGGATTAAATAAAAGAATATCATTATAATTAGCTGAAATAGTTATTGAAAAGTCAACTTTTTTAGCTGTACATGTTGCAAAATGGTTAGTTAAAGATAAAAAAGTATCATTTGGTCTACGTATTTCATGAATTGAATGATAATCATCAAGATTAAATATATATAAATAATTTATCTATAAAATATAAAATAATAAATTATATATTATAATAATATATATTATATTATTAAAATTAAATAAAAATAATTTACATTATCATTAAAATATTTACAAAATTTTTCAAAATGGTCTTCAACAATTTGTTGTTTATATCTTAATACAGTTTTAGATGAAACTGTGAGTCCAGTATTTGATAAAATGTCTATATCTTTATATGAAGTTCCTGCTGAAGCTAAATGAAGTCCAATATCTAATTTATAACTATTTGCAAATTTATT